ATTAGTTCTAGATGAAGTGTTCCATGATTCATTGTTCGTGCACAACACCCAGTGCTCCATGCAGAACGTGCCCTCCTCAATACCCACCACCAGGCCAATGTCAGAGTAGCCTTCTTAAAACGCCACTCCACTTTGCATATGGAACTGTTCTCATTCCAAAATCTTTAGTTAGGGGTTTTCGGAGTCAGACCCCTGTCCATCACATTAGCCTTATGTTCCTCCATTAGCTTACACGGAAAGGAACACCTTAATAAGTTGTTTGAATGTATTATTTGGGTTATTACCTGTTTCCTTTTATTCATTGTCCATATTAACTGGAGTGCCATCCTTTTGTACTGCAGAGCTTTAGTGCACGTCCCACCTCAGCAAAAATAATGGATAAAGTTTTCTGAATGCTTGTGTTCTGTGAGGCATTGTGCTAGGTGCTTTTGTGATCTATGTCATTCAGCTCTGTCGGTCATCCTGTAACACAGGAACTGTTAACTACCAATAACGTGAATTTGGATAATTTGTCTGCGGTCACAGAGCTGGGAAGTGGCAAGGACAGGTCTCCAGTAACTCCAGAGCCCAGGTTCTCAGTGATCACACTCCGCTGTCTTGTACCTGTGCCACGACGATCAAGCTAATACTGGAGGACCAGATATGTTTCAGGCACAAGTAAAAGGGCTTTACAATTATTAGCTCATTTAATTCTTGTAAAATTCTAATAAAGTAGTTACTGTTAGGATCTTCGATCTATACATGAGGACATTGAGATCTTGGGAAGTTAAACAGCTTACCTACAGTCTCATATCTAGTAAGTGAGAGACCCAGATTTAGAACTGGACGAACTTCTTTGGGAATTCATGCTTTAAGCCTTTTCAGTACACTGTTAGCATAAATCATACAACAACAAAAGAAAAAGTTGGTTTTTATTCATTCATTTCCAACAGCTGTTTGGGTGTTTACTGAGTGGTAGATAAGGACTTGGATATAAAGAAATGAAAAACATTAAACCCTTCTTTGAGCTCAGAGAGCTTTGGTTGTGGTACCCCTGTCTATACCTGATCCCCATGGGCAGGGTATGGTCCAGTTAGTTTTGTGATCTCAGTACCTTGCACAATGTCAGTATTTAATTTTTTGATGATGTTATGATAATTCCGTGGTTTTTCTGTTACCTTCTGCTAAGTGACCTTTGCTCTGACTTAGGCTTGTGTTTTTTAGGGAGTACTTAAATTTTTTCCCCCAGCTGACTTGTGGCCAGGGATCCTTTCCCTTTGATCTTTCATCTTTCATCTGAGTCCTGCTCTTGCTTAAATCTAGTGGGTTTTATTCCAATATATGCTATAGATAACTCTCCTCTAGAGAGAGGTGCTATTGACCATTTTTGTGTCTCCTTTTTTTTATTCTTTTTCCTCAGTACTGTATTGGCAATCGCTGGAGAAGATTTTTCGATTGTTGCTTCTGACACTCGATTGAGTGAAGGGTATTCAGTTCACACCCGGGATAGCCCCAAGTGTTACAAATTGTAAGTAAATATTTCTAGGGATACATTTCCCGGTATCTTGTGATGACTTACTGCTGTAAGAGATTTCACTTCTAAACAGTTTATTTCATGAGTTTTTAGATTGAGTATTTGAGCTTAGTTTGCATTTTTGTTAGAAAACTGTTTTCTGAATTAGTATTTCCTAATAATTCAATATGTTGTCTTGATGATATTTGCTGTACTGGCAGGAAATATTTTTACCTTAACATTTTATCATGAAAATTTTCAAATATATAACAAAGGTAAAAGAATTTTGTAGTGAACACCTATATGCTATCACGTGGCTCTTGTTAGCATTTACTATAATTATGTTACCACATAGCTTTGCATTCTTTTATCTGTTAATCCATTGCATTTTTTTAATCTCCCACTTTTTTTTTTTTTTACCCAAAACATTTAGCCATCACCTAAGCAGCTATATCTGTGAGCCACAGTCTTAATGGGCTAGCTATATTTTTTCTAAAACATGAAAATGAAATATGCACTGATAAGTGATGGTTTGTAGTTAACATTTTTGGAAAGAGTTGCAAATGGTGGTTAATTCCTAAATTAGTCCACAAGAGCCTATTAAACCTGAATTGTAATAGGAGTGGATTGATGGGGTTCAAGTCCCTTGGACAGGGCCCTGTGTTATGAGTAGGTAAAGAAGAGGGCTCTGTCTTCTTTCCTGGTCCTGGGCTAGCCCACACCCTACCCTAGAGTACAGTTGATGTTTGTCATCTTCCCAGTTCTCTTCATATGCTCTTTTTTCTAAGATTTTATTTATTTGAGAGAGAGCGCGCACATGTGTGCGTGAGAGAGAGCATACACAAAAGGGGCAGAGGGAGAAGCAGGCTCCCCACTGAGCAGGGAACCTGATTCAGGACTCCATCCCAGGACCCCGGGATCATGACCTGAGCTGGAGGCAGACGCTTAACCGACTGAGCCACCCAGACGCCCCTCTTTACGTACTCTTCTTCCATCTTTCGATACCCCCTTCTCTCTGCTTCACAGTGCATGGATGCTACCTTTTTTCTTCTTAGGAGAAGAAAAATTATTTCACGGGTTTCATAATTTGGAAGTAGTAAATGTCACAGATAAAATTTAAGAACATAACTTTACAAATACTATTCTTATGCAAGGTTCTGCTCATCTTTGTAATGTTCTACTTTAGTGTGTGTGTTTCTGAAGGGAATACCTGTTCTTTTTTCTTATTATGAAACATTATAGGCATATAGATAGCACATTAATAACTTCCTCTGTCCTTATCATCCATCTTCAGCACTAAACCATACATAGAGTTGAAGCTGCCTATGTACACCTAATCCCAAGCCCTTTGGGGCTGACTTAGAGCCAAACTTGCCTCCTCCCCACCTGTTTGAGACTCTACATTTAGTCTTTGTTCTTTGCATGCAAACTCCTCTTCGTTATGTATACACCTGACTATTTGGGAAGAGCATCTTAAAGCTCCCTATTGGTATTATTCACCCATCTTGGTACTAAAGGCACTGCAGCCTTATGGGAGATCGGAGCTCTTTAACTCAGTGCAGTGAGATTGGTTGTAGGGATAGGTCAGGAAATGCTGGTGATGCTCCCAGAGCTGTCAGTGGTCCCCCTAGTTGGACAGGTATGGTTTGTGTGAATCATAAATTTCTGAAAGGAAGAGTTTATCATGTGACTTCTGCTATGTTTCTTGATGAGATTGGTGTAGGTTTCCTTATAGATTGATATTAAAGTTTAGAAATCTTTGAGACCTAATTCAGTTTGTTTGGCTATACCAAAATTTAATCAGTTCTGCAATGGTGGGCATTTAAGTGCTTTTTGTTTGTTTTGTTTTAGGGAGCCATTAACATAATACGTACACTTTCACAAGTAAGCCTATAGTATATCTTTGCAAACTTAAGTGAGTTTATTTACAGGGTGAATTTCTAGCAGTGGAATTATTGAGTAAAAGTGATGTTACTGGATACTGCCAAATGACCCTTCTAAAAAGTTAAATGGATGTATACTCTTGCCCAGTTATTTATTAAGAATATCCATTTTCCACAACCTCACCAGCATTAGGCATTATTAACCAGTCTAATATATTGAAATGTAGATTTGGATTTGTGAACAACATGAAGGCTCTTCATGTTTATGGTGACTTGTGTCTCTTTTTATGGACTCATGTAACTGTATCAGTCTTTCCATTGTGGGTTTTTTTTTTTTTTTTAAACTGAGGTATAAGTGACACATAACAGTGGTTTCAGGTGTGCAACATAATGATTCCGTATTTGTGTGTATTGCAAAGTGATCACCACAACAAGTCCAGTTAACATCTGTCACCATACGTAATTACAAAATTTTTTCTTTGTGGAGGACTTTTTTTTTAAATTTTTTATTGTTATGTTGATTACCATACAGTATATCATTAGTTTTTGATGGTGATCCATGATTCATTGTTTGTGCATAACACCCAGTGCTCCATGCAGAACGTGCCCTCTTTAATACCCATCACCAGGCTAACCCATCCTCCCACCCCCCTGTGGAAGACTGTTCCTAGCAACTTTTAAACATTTGATACAATATTATTAATTGTAGTTACCATGTTATACATTACATCCCATGATACACTGTGTTAATGCTTTTGGTATTTATAAGAGCCCTTTTAGACTAAGGAAGTTAAAATTAGACTTTGGTTATATCTACTACAGTTTTGTGGTTTTTTTAATCATTTTTCTCTATATAAGTTTTAATCTGGGGGGTGCCTGGGCGGCTCAGTGGGTTGAGTGTCCAACTCTTGGTTTTCGCTCAGGTCATGATCTCGGAGTCATTAGATCAAGCCCTACATCAGGCTCCATGCTCAGTAGGAAGCCTACCAGAGATTCTCTCTCCCTTTCTTTCTGCCCCTCCCTCTGCTCGCTCGCTCACTCGCTCGCTCTCTCAAATAAGTAAGTAAATCTTTAAAAAGAAAGGTTTTAAATTGGTACATAGTCAAATTTATGAAACTTTTCTATGTGGGCATTGGGTTGTATCATATTTAAATAGGTGACTCTTAACCCAAGATTGTCTCAACTGTGTTTTCTTTAGGCCATTCATTCTTTCATTTTTCTATAAGTCTTTGATCTTGCCTATAATTCGTTTAGTATTGGGAATAAAGTGATGACCCCCTCCCCCCCCCCGCCAACAAAGGGCTAACTGGTCCCATTACCATTGGGTAAATAATGGGAATAGGAGTTTTAAATTTAAAATTGCCCAAGGCATGTTTTACTTTATTGTCTAACCAGCTCAGTTTCCCGAAATGTGCTTTTTACAGAACAGACCAAACAGTCATTGGATGCAGCGGTTTTCATGGAGACTGTCTAACCCTGACAAAGATTATTGAAGCAAGACTAAAGGTAGATGCTTTTGTTACATGTCTGTGCTATGGAAAGTTAATAACAATTCATAGATTGTTTGAAGCATATAGCAGAACTGTTGTACAGAATAGCTGGAGAAGCTCTAGGTTAGCTGATGAAACTACAGCCCATTCTAGAAATGAAATGATACTGTTAATACAGCTATATGAAAGTAGCATAATGTGAAACTGCAGGATATTCCCTTTGTTAAAATCTCCGTACAATATAAAGGTTCTCTACCCTTTTCAAGGTAGCATGCAAAGGGTTTCTTCTGAAGATAATCTTCCTTCAAAAACAAAAATTCTGTGGAGGAGGCAAACTTTTAGACAGGTGCTTGGTTTGGAATACCACCAGCTGACATGCTTTCCCTCTTTACAGCATTGCATTCTTAGTCAACAGGACACGTGGGCAGCAACCAGAATAGATAAGGCAGGAGTTTGGATGAGAGGCACAACCGAAGCTGTCATCACCTAACACCTTGGTAGGCTTTGGTTGACTGCCAGCTGAGGAAGTTTTGACCCGTGATGGGTGGGCTTGGAACAGCAGGAAAGGGTGGTATGAGGAGGAAGTGAGAGGAAGAGCCGTTCTCACCTGTTCTGCAGTTTTTAAAGGGGCTGACAATGTCACTGCCTGCATGTCTTTTGTGCTAGATGGGTAGGCATGAGGAATAAAGGAATACCAACTTTTAATGAAAGCAGAGGCACGTCTGGGTTTTTATTGTGGCCTGTGTATATTAAGCATAATGTACCTTCCAGTAATTTCAAGGAGGTAGGCTAGGAGTAATTTAGACTGTATTAAAATGGAATTTTAGGGGCCCCTGGGTGGTGCAGTTGGTTAAGTGTCTGACTCAGCTCGGGTCATGATCTCAGGGTCGTGAGATCACGCTCAGCAGGGAGTCCGCTTAAGTTTCTCTCTCTCCGACCCTTCCCCTCCCCACCCCCAGCCCCTCCACCCCGCATGTGTGTGCATGCTCTCTTTTTCTCTAAAAAAAAATAAATAAAATGGATTTTATCTGTAATAATAACTAGTAAATACATACTCTTAGCTGGCAAAAATACAAGGCTGGAGTAGGATTTAATTTTGTACGGTATGTGTCACATTTTTATGTAGTTGGTAAAGACACCTAAAATGTGAAGAAGTTAGCAGAGGTGGTCACATTCTGTCTTTGCCTGTTTGTGAATAACACTTGAGATTATATGCACTTATTAATGATGTCGTAGGTACTGGAATATTTAATAAATTTAACTGACATCTGTTTCTGAATAATTTTGAAATTGCTTGTTAGAATGTAAAAATGATTTCATTCAATAGTTATCACTTGTTAATAGTTATTTAAAATCTTTACATTGAAAGCTTCATTGACATACATTTATTGACATATTTATACGATTCCTGGTACATATTTTGTAAATGAAAGTTACAGTACAAAAGTACACGACCAACAGAGTAGTACTGTGTTAATAAAATATAGCAAGAAACAGTGAATTCAACATAATTACACAATCCTTGAAATTTTTCTTTCATACATTATCACGTAAATGGTGTGGTGATTAAAGTGTTGATGCTTGGTTTTGAAATGAAATGAAGATTTTTTTCCTAATCTTTTTTTTTTGGTATTTTGACTAATCATTTTAGCCTGTATTCTTAAGTAAATCTTTAGAGATGCTTGCTCTGTGGCTGATAAATTGGTGAACTTAAATTTATTTTATGTTTGTAATTTTTGTAGAATTTCTCTGTTGGATAATTTAGGATTCCCTAAGGCTGCAGTAAATCTAGGATTCAAAAATCATAATAAGGTTTGCTTTGGATACTTCTGTTCTCCACTATAGATGCTTTAAGGAGCAAGACCACTTCCCAGAGTAAGGGTCCTGTCCTCAAACCTTCTGTTCTCACAGGTATTTACTGTGCAAAGAGAAGGGCTTGTATCTGGGTCTGATCAAGAGTCAGCACACTTTACCTGTAAAGGGCCAGAGAGTAATTACTTTCAGCTTTATGGGCCATTTACTCTGCTGTTGTAATATACAAGCAGATGTAGATATATGTAATAAATGAATAAGACTATGTTCTAATAAAGCTTTTTTTGCAGAAACAGTTGATGGGCTGGTTTTGGTCCATGAGCTCTAGTTTGCTGACCCTGGTCTAGAGGCGGAGGTAAAGGAGAGCTGGACTTAAATCATCCTCCCAGGTCACCACACTTACGCCTGATGTGTGTGCATTTGCTCTTGAATGAGCAGTTCCTGAGATAAAGGTAGCCTGGAAAATAGAGAGCTGAGGGCAAATTTAACATTCTTTCCCTTAAAAATTTTTTATAGCCCCCCAAATGGTATGGTAGTATTATTTGTGTGATCACGAAAGAAGTAGGCATCCTTTCACCAAGATAGCTGCTCACCCTGTAACTTTACTGTTCCTTATTCTAGTCTGTAATATATTCTGCCTCTCAATGCCTGTTACTTTCATTAATACTTGCAGATGTATAAGCATTCTAATAACAAAACCATGACTACCGGGGCGATTGCTGCAATGCTGTCTACAATCCTCTATTCAAGACGCTTCTTTCCCTACTACGTTTACAACATCATCGGGGGACTGGATGAAGAAGGTAGAATTCTTCCTTCCTGGAAAATGAAGGAGGGGTGGCATATTTTAGATATGTGTGTTTCCATCTACAGTTGAAAAGAACCATAAACACTGTCTTGCCCAACAGTCTTATATTTGTTAATTAAAACAATAAGAAACTGAAGCTAAAAGGGAAGTAAAGAGATGATCCAAAGGCACGCTGCAAGTTGTATACTAAAGCTCTAATAATGACTGATGGGCAGGCTGTTATTTTACTATTTTCTGAAGATCTTGCATGAGTTCAGTAGTAGATAATTAGCATTTCAATCTTATGGAAAGAAAGCTGACTTGGAGAAGCTTAGCCTAATTATCATTCTACATAACAAACGTATTTGACTTAAGGTTTTAAAAAGCGATGCCTTAAAAGAAAGGTATGCATTTCCAACAGTGTATTCAGGACATTCTGAAGCACCTCTTTGAATTCCTGTCAGAGTCAAACCAGGAGGGCCTAAGAAAATCAGTCTTGTTACTTGACATGCCCATCCCATTTTTGATCCAAGCTCTGTTAATGGAGCAGGGACACTGATGGTTTTCACTGGGTCTCATTTGGATTGATTTTCAATTGCTTCCAAAAACCAGATACTCTGTCTCAGGACAGATCTGTGCCACCATTTACAGTAGCCCATTGAAAAAAGAAGTTACAGAAATGTCTGGCTGATAACAATATATTGAAATATATCAACTGAGAGGGAAAATTTCTGGATAGTAAGGAGTTGGGCTCCTCTCATCTCCTCTCTCCACTTTTTACTGCTGTCCCTTCTGTTCCATGGGCTTTTCCTTTGTTCTTTCTCTCTGTCTTAATAGCAGCCCCCATATGTGGCCTCTGGGAGCATTCCAGTCATTTTATCTATGATTTTATCTGTGATTTAGATGTAGACAAATTAGGTTGACACAGTGTATTTTGAGGCTTTCAACCTTACTTGAAAACTAAGAGAAAATTTTGTAAAGCATGGAAATAGTCAAAAGAAATTAATTACCCTTGATAAGGTAAGATTACCTTGCCTAACCCAGCATGCTGGACACGTTTTTTTCACTTAAATTATGTCTGACTTGAATGTCAGATAAATAAAGTCAGGTTTAGCAACATTAATAATAGCTACAATTGAATTTTAGCAGGCCAGACAATGTCCTTTGAGTTTTACTGAGAGACAGAGACACCAATTTAGGAATGCTCACATCTGCTAAAGGGCAAACCTCAGGTTTGGGGATCTGTTTTGAGTTCAAAGCCCTGTTCTTTGATGTTCTGGTGGTATTCTCAGGCATTTCCAACTGTCTTTTTAAATCTTCTCTGGTCTGCTTTGATTATCCTTTATGTTTATTTTTATTTCTTAGAGGAATTTGTAAATTCCTATAATAAAGCAGTCCTTTTTGTCTGTTCCCCAAGATACTCCAGCTTTTACCTGTGCTTTCCTCTTTCTTGGTTTATTTCCTTGCTTTGGTGGTGTACATCTCTCAAGATATTTCTGGAAAAGAAATCAGGAGGCCTTTTTTTGAGACTTTTCAGATCTTATGCTTCTGTTTTCATTCCTGCTCTTTACACCGCCTATACATAAGCCTGGTGTCCCCAAATCCAGAGTCTCCACTGATGTCTCAAGAGACCTTGTTTCCTCTTTTCCTCCCTTGTGGAAATGGAGACCTGGAGAGCAGTGCTCCTTATTGAGATCTTCAGGGTAGTTGGGTCAATAGCTGTCCTTCAGGACACTGGGATCATTGGTTATCCTTGGAACAGTGGGTCCAACAGCTGCCTTTCAGGATAGCCGGTTAAGTAGCTGCCTGCTTTGACCTCTGTGCCTTTAACTCTCTACTTACAGTCATGCTTTAAAAAATCCCCCCCTGCCCCCCCGTTAATAATGGCTTTAGTTTTTCTGTAACAAAAACAGTAGTAATGTAGAAGTTTCAAATAGTACAAGAAGATACAAAAATGAAAGTAGTAATCACCCCAACCTTCTACTTCGAGATAATTACTATTAAACTTCTGGTGAACATGCTTACAAGTATCTTGGTGGTCATACGTGCTTGTGCGCTATGTAAGTAGAATATATAGTGTATGCATCTTTACATGGGATGTATTGTCACGGAGGTAGTTTCATGCCAGTGAGTAAAGATGCATAATGATTCAGTGACTGACTTGCATAGGATGTAGTTACACCATAGTTTGCCTAGCAGTCCTCTGAAGGTCATTTAGGTTGTTTGTAGTTTCCTTAATAGAAACAATATGATGAACATTCTTGTACATACAATTTTGTATACTTCTTCAACCATGTGTACCTCCCTGGTAAACATTCCCAGAAGTTGAGTTGCTGTGTCAGAGAATATATAATTTTGGCATATTGATTCCATCGCTGGCTTGCCCTTCAGAAAGGGCCTCCTAGCTGGGGTATGAGTACCTGGGCTTTTTTGCATCCTTTACCACTATCAGAATTAACACATTTTAAAGATCTTTACCCAGTTAATATTTTGTGGTTTTAATTTACGTATAGTTTTTGTATACTCAAGTTGGGCATTTTTTTGTGTTTATTGACCTTTTCATTTTTTTGGAGACTGACCTATGTGCTGACCTTTGCTCATTTCCTTATCTGCACATTAGTCTTTTTTAAAAATTTATAAGAATGCCATCTAACTGTGTTAACTCTGTAATGTATGCAGTGGATGCCTCCCAAGAATGTTTTTTGTTTCTTACATTTTGGGGGGTGTCTAGCTATGGCAGAATTTTCTGAATTGCGTAGGGTCCAGGCTAATGGTCTTTTCTTTATGACGTTGAGTGTCCTACTTTGTTAGAAAGGACTCTCCCATCCAGGGTTTACCTGTATTTCTTTCTAGGACTTGTTTTGACTTTATTTTTTACATTGAAGCCATTGTGCTTTTTTAAAATTAAGAATTATTGGGACACCTGGGTGGCTCAGTTGTTGGGCGTCTGCCTTTGGCTCGGGTCATGGTCCCGGGGTCCTGGGATTGAGCCCCACATCGGGCTCCCTGCTCGGCGGGAGGCCTGCTTCTCCCTCTCCCACTCCCCCTGCTTGTGTTCCCTCTCTCGCCATGTCTCTGTCAGGTAAATAAATAAAATCTTAAAAAAAAAAAAAAAGTTATTTTGGTGAGGAAAAGCACTCTATATCTACAGTCAAGATTCATGCCATTCTGCTCTGATGTTACAAATGTCTCTTTTCCCTTTGCTAAGTGAGGGGAAGGTCTTTGAAGCTCTGGTCTTCAATTTATTCCACTCTTCTTTTCCTCAAATGTATTGTGTGTGGTTTTTCTAAGATTGGTTCTGCCTTTGGTTAAAACTTGGGCCTCGTTTTACTTGTGGCCTGTTGGCATCCTGAGAGATCACTTGTTCTTTTCACTTTGTACTGCCTGTCCCTTTTCTGTGTGTTGAGGTTAGTGAACTGCGCACTGGGATCTCGATCTTGTCCCATAGTTGCTTCCAACAAAAACACTTCCCTGGATTCTCCTGGGCAACCTCAGCACCTTAGATGCTGCCTTCTCAGCAGAGAATTGTTAAGTAATTCTGCAATAGAAAAAGCACACACAGCTAAGGGTAGCAGAGGTCCATGGATAGGAAGACAACTGTCCTCATCTCACATCTCCCAGGTTAACTACTGAGGTGTTTGAGTTATGATATAATATGTTTTCAAGATGAGTTATATCACTTTTAAGATCTGTGTCATAAATGACCCATGATTTCTCACACCCAAAACACACTTGTTTTTTAAAAAATTACAGTGGCATGTGTGCTTTGTAACAGATTCAGTACCAAAGCCTACAAAGCAATTCCCTTTTCTTGCCTCCAGTCCCGCAGAGATAACTATGTTTGCAGTTTATCTTGCCATACTTTTTTGTGTGCTTATACAAATATGTATGTTTTTTCTTATGCTTTTGAACAGTATAGAACTATGTCATACATATTACAGAGCTCTTCATTTTATATTGTCTTGTGGTTGTGGGACTGGGGGCAGTCCCATCTTCCTCTTCCATTCCAGTTTGTGCTGGTGAAAATAAGCCTTATAGGTAGATCTAATCTACAAGTGAGATTATTACTGGGTTATAGGGTTTGTACCTTTACATTTTGATAGATTATACTGCTAGATTGTTCTTGAAAAAGGCATAGCAATGTATGCACCCTTCAGGAGAGCCTGAGAGGCCCATTTATCCTTCTCCTCATGGTGCTCTGTAACTGTTCAGAATGGGTACATTCAGGGGCACCTAGGTGGCTCAGTCGGTTAAGCATCTGCCTTCAGCCCAGGTCATGATCCCAGAGTCCTGGGATCGAGTCCCACATCAGGCTCCCTGCTCAGCGGGGTGCCTGCTTCTCCCTCTGCCCCTCCCTCCTGCTCATGTGCATGTGCTCTCTTCTCTCTCTCAAATAAATAATAATATTAAAAAAAAAAGAAAAAGAATGGGTACATTCAGATTCTGGTTTGGTGGTTTTTTTTGTTGTTATTTTTAGTTTTTGCAATAGTGATTCTTAACTCTGGTAGTACAAAGCAAGTGATTACATTTTAGGCAGAACTAACCTTTTGCATGTGGCATTTGTGTTTTTCTGGAATTTTACCTTTATTAAGTCAGTTGGGTTTTTTTATGGTGTTGATGCTAAAGAGCGTGCTTACTGTTAAGTTTAAAAACACACAGTAAATCTTCCTTGTGACTGTTCACATTCAGCAGTAGGAGAATTTTAAACTCAGGTCTATGCTAGAACTACACTAGTTCATTTTTTAGGAATGTTGTGAGGAGCTTGGTGCAGAACTCAGAGCAGAACCTGTGACTGCTAACCAGTGTGCCTGTGAGGCCACTGGGTGGTGGTTGGTGATGTCAGCCTGATGAGAGCATGAAGCTCCAGGTGGCAAAAGCACGTAGGGAGACAGGAGTGGGCAGGTGTGCCTCTGATCAAATTCTGAGAGGAGGTGAGCAGACCGCTGGGTAGAACAGTGAAATTTGGCTGAAATTTTAGCTCAGTTCATAGTCTCTTCTGTGTCACACTTCAACTTGATTTATTTTTACTGTGATTTGGGATTGTGGTCAGGATGCATCCTTATGGAGATTGTTTTATTCTTTCAGGGAAGGGAGCTGTGTATAGCTTTGACCCGGTAGGGTCCTACCAGAGAGACTCTTTCAAGGCCGGAGGCTCAGCAAGTGCCATGCTCCAGCCCCTGCTTGACAACCAGGTAATGAGACTGCGTCCACGCTGGCTGTGACATTGGCATAAAGTGCTTTCCTCTGAGTTCTCCTATTCACCCGCTGAGGAGAGTGGAGAAATCCAGGCTTTCTTGTATGTCCCTGCTGATTTTCCCTACCCCAGTCTTCTGGTCTGTCTGTGTTCTGCTGGCTGTCTTGTGGCCTCTCACCTGCTGCCATGGCTCTAGCATCTTCCTCTGTCCTCATGATGTCCAGGCCTCTCGTGTCTACAATGGTTGGTCCATGTTTTCAGTTCTCTTGCCACCTTTACCTGAATTCTCCCCATTTTCACCATTTTTCTGTCATCTAATTTTGTATTCTAACTTCCAAGTACATTTTTAATTTACCCCCTTTTCTGTTACTATTGCCTGCATTCAGGCCTTGTATTTCCCAACATCCTTTCTGCCTCCAAGCTTCCTTCCTTGTGTTTCTGAAAGGTATTATATATGTGTAGTCAACTTGTGTGTATTGCTTATCTGCCTCATCTCCCGTCACTCTCCTTCACACCCAAACCTCCAGTGTGGTGTGCCTGTCCGTTCACCAGGCCTGGGGTCATAGCACACCCTTGGTCTGCAGCGTTACTCCCCTCTGACCCTGGCTCATCCTTCACACTCCTATACTCAAGTGTGTCTTCTGCCAAAGCCTTTCTCTTCAGGTAGACTTAGTTATGCCCGCTAGGGGCTCTCCTGGCTCTTTTTTCTTCTTAATGGTAGCACATTGTGTAATGGTACTCTGCTTTCGTATGTTCTCCTCTCTAGATGATGCATGCTTCTCAGGATCGGGAGCTTTGTCTCAGTGCATGTTTGTCTGGTTTTAGGAATGTGTAATTCATCCAGGTCTGGAAGCTTTTCAGTTAGGAGACATTCCAAATTTGTGTGAGCTCTTCATATGAATCCTCAGACATGTGAAGGCATTGGGGAGGCTGGAACCACCTTTGTACTGTCACATGATGCCTCATCCAAGTTTCCTGTCCCGCCAGGTTGGTTTTAAGAACATGCAGAACGTGGAGCATGTCCCACTGTCTTTGGACAGAGCCATGCGGCTTGTGAAAGATGTCTTCGTTTCTGCGGCTGAGAGGGATGTATACACTGGGGATGCACTCAGAATCTGCATTGTGACCAAGGAGGGCATCAGGGAGGAGACTGTTCCCCTGAGGAAGGATTGATTTGTGTGCTGTTATCATTAATCACTTCAGAATTGGTTAATTTTGTATCTTGGAACTATTTGACTAATGTGTTTTATTAAAAAATAAAGGCTGAAGTAATCATTTGTTATAACTTGTGTTCTCTAAGCAGGACAGATCTAGAAAGTAGAATTTCTTTTTCCTTTCATTTTCTTGTCTTTTTTCTTTTTTTTTTTTTAAGATTTTATTTATTTATTTGAAAAAGAGAGAGAGCATGAGCAGGGGGAGAGGGAGAAGCAGACTCCCCACTGAGCAGGGAGCCCAATGTGGGACCCTGGGATCATGACCTGAGCCGAAGGCAGACGCTTAACTGCCCGATCCACCCAGGCGCCCCTTTTCCTTATATTTATGAGCAAGAAATTTATCTGGAAAAGATGACTGTTTCGGTCAGCTTCTTGTTGCATGATTGCCAGCCCATCTTAGGAAGAGCGTTTTTGGAATTTATTAAGTCCACCCAGATTATATTGAAGGGTGGAGTATTACCACTTTTAACTTTAAAACCATCTCAGTTTTATTAACGAATGTGAATGGACTATCTTAAAATTTCTCATCCTTGGAGTTGCTAAGCAGTCTGAAATGGTTGTTTGGGAGAAAAATGTTCACATCAACCAGAATAGAAGAAAATTACAAAAGGAAATAGCCCTTTAGATTGGCTTTAGCCAGACATCAGCAGGAAGAATTTTTATAAACACTTGAAGAATATTAAATCCGAGGGCGCCTGGGTGGCCCAGTCGGTTAAGCGTCTGATTCTTGATCTCAGCTCAGGTCTTCATCTCAGCTCAGGTCTCGATCTCAGGGTCGTGAGATCGAGCCCTGTGTTGGGCTCCATGTGGGGTGGAGCTTGCTTAAAAAATACTCAAGACGTAAATTTTGATAGAGCTAAAGTAGTTTCTGTTTTACGACTATTAAATACATTTTATCTCCACTCCATAAAATGTTGGAGCAATTTCCTTGATGTTGAACAAGTCAGATGATACAGTGTGACCTAGAGGGTGTGATTGGTTTTGTGGCATATTAATAACAGTGGGGTTTTCCTGTTGGCCTCCTGTTAATTTAATTAAAATTACCAAAATCCTAAGAGATATGTATTTAATT